AACAACAACATATTAAATTATAATTATGTATAATCACTATATTAAAGGCTTGGAAAAAGCCATCAAAGTAAAAAAATCTGTATAACTTCTTCAGTCTAGAATTTTCTAAAGGCATTTGACCACTGACTTTGTTTTGTTGTCCTCCGTCCTCAGCTTCCTTCACTATCTGCAGGGTGCAAGCATTCTAGCTTAGAGTCCCCTGGCTTGGAGGGCACACTGTTGTCACCCGTCCGGCCGGCTTCCCTCTCCGTGGGCCGTGGGGGCGCTCCTGTGTCGGATGCCATTCCCACCCTGTGGCACACGGAGTGATCTGAGCTCGGCTTCCTGCCTTCTCTCCGACTGACTCTCCTTGGCGGATGGTGGTGCTTGGAGTCACTACCCCCTCCCCAGCCTGGTTCTTACATTTCGAGCCTTTACATCCCTTTGGCGATCTGGGCATAGTGCAGACCACGCCGGGCCAAGCACCTCCACTCCACCTTCCCCGAGCCCCCTGCACCTCCACGTTCCCGAACGCAGGCAGCAGTTCTGCAGGAGGTGCCCCGGGCCAGCGTGTCCGTGCTCTTACCCCTCACCACCAGCCAGTTCTCACGGCCCCCACCCTGCGACCTCCCCGGGGCTGCCCGTGGCTGCCCGTGGCTGTCTCCTCTGCTCCCTGCCACCACCACCAAGTCCAGCCTCTCACCACGTCCCGCCTGGACTTCAGCCTTCTGTCACGCTCACCATGAGCCTGGGCACCCCAAAACCACACTCTACACGGTGGCAAGAGGGACTTCTTAACAAGCATAAACTTGACCTTGTTGTTGTGCGCTGTGGAGTCAAACCCGACTCATAGGGACCCCTCCTTGGGTTTCCCAGGCGGTATCACTACAGAAGTAGATTGCCCAACCTTCCTTCCGAGGAGTGGCTGGTGGGTTTGAACGCCAGCCTTCTGGTGAGCAGTCAAGTTGCCCTAGGCACTATGCTACCAGAGTTCCTAAACTTGACCTTTGTTGTTGTTGTTGTTATATGCCGTCGAAAACTTGACCTTATTATGGCTTCAAAGCCTTCCTTGTTTCCCGTGACCCTGACGGCGCCTGGGCTCCTGAGGGCCCGTCAGGTCATACGCTGAGTGTCAGTCTTAGCTACGGACCCCGGCACACTCTTCTCCCCGGAAGGCCCCAGAACTGCCAGGGCTCCTCGGAAGGAGACGTCTCAGCAGGTGGCGCCCCTCACTGTCGGCAGCCACGCGCATGTCTGTATAACCGCGCATGTCTGTATACCCGGATGGAGTGACTCATTTTCAACACGTGCTCGTTGCTAGGTGTCGCCGCGTCCGTTCCAACTCACAGCAACCCCGTGTACTGAGGACGCAGCCTGCCTGGTCCTGAGCCAGCCCCACAGTCCTCGCTGCGCCGGAGTCCGTCGCTGCGGCCAGCGGGTCGGCCCACCTCACGGAGGGCCTGCCTCTGACGGTCTGCCTTCCCCAGCACGGTGTCCGTGCCCAGTTATCAGTACCCGGGAAGGACATCGTCTCACGCCCCGGAAACGCCTACTTTAGGAAGGCTTTCCAGCCTCCCCGTGCTGCCGCAGGGCCTGCTGTGTGCTGTCAAGCTCCCTCCGAGTGTCTACGTCAGCTTGTTACGTGTCTGTTCTCCCTCCAGGTGATAATTTTTCAGAAAGCGTGGGATGTCAGAGTTAAACCCATCGCCGTTGACTTGATTCCACTCATAGTAACCACGCAGGACAGAGCGGAACTGCCCCATAGGGTTTCCAAGGCTGTCGATCTGTGTGGAAGCACACTGCCTTATCCTTTTTCTGGGGAGAGGCTGCAAGACTTGAACTACCCTAATGCTTAACCACCATGCCACTGTTGTTGGCATTGTTATTTTGCCATCAAGTCGGCCTCGACTCATAGCGACCCCTCCTTGGGTTTCCGAGGCGGTTTCACTACGGAAGTAGATTGCCCAACCTGCCTTCCGAGGAGTGGTTGGTGGGTTTGAACTCCTAGCCTTCTGGTTAGCAGTCAGATGTCTTAGGCACTACGCCACCAGAGCTCCTCCCATGACACTAGGGCTGCTTATGAAAGCTTAGTCCCCTACCTGTACAACAGATAGAGTTTACTGAGAAGCTGAGCCCTTTATTTGCCCCGGTTTCCAGGGTGGCAGTAAGGACTGAGTGGGCACTTTGTGACATGTGTCTTTTCACTCCAGGCACCAAGTATAAAGTCTTACATCAAGTAGATATGCAATAAATATTTGCGTTGGATGACCACACCCATCCTGAGTTTAGGGGACTGGCACCAGAGAACAAGGAAGGGCCCAGAGAGACTTTCCAGCTCTGAGTGACATTCAGGTAGACTTCCTCACAAAGGAATGTGCTCTGCTGGTGCTATGGTAAGGCATTTTGACTGCTAACCAGAATGTTGGTGGTTCAAACCCACCAGCTGCTCCATGGGAGAAAGATGAGGCAGTCTGCTTTTATAAAGATGACAGCCTTGGAGACCCTATGGTGCAGTTCTACTCCGTCCTCTAGGGGCGCTGTGGGTCAGAATGGACTCCACGGCAGTGGGTGTGGTTTGGGCTTTGCTTCTATGAAGATTGACAACCTGGGAAACCCTGTGGGCAGTTCCACTCTGTC